GCTGGCAGTGCCAGGAGCTGCGGACGGTGTGGTCGCGGGCAAGGACGGGCGAGGCCCGACTCCTTAGCTTTTAGTGTGGCTCTTTTTTTTTTTCCAGAACTGCACACTGGCCGGCAGGAGGGGAGGAGAGGGTAGGAAAAGGGAGGGAGGGACGAGCGTCAGGTGCCAGCTGTTGTCTGAACTAACCGAGCACTTCTCACCAAACTTCGTGTGTAAATAAGATGCATATTTTTAAAACAAACCAATAAATGGCTTCCATGACCTGGCCTGGCTCTGTTCTTGCGCAGGGGTTTGATGAGGCCCCAGGAGCCTGCGAGGAGGCTGGTCCTGCACGTGCGCGCGCACACACACACACACACACACACACCACCCCCCTCAGACACACAGGCGTTTGGGGAGAGCGAGCTGGGTCCGAGAACCTGCAGGACTCCCAGGTGCTGGGGCATGGCAGAGCGGGAGGACCGGGACTGGGGGCTCACACCATAGGAAGGATCTGGAAAGGTGGATGTAGGAAGGGGCAGCTGCCGTGGAGAACAGCCAGATGGTGGCACCTGTGCCTCAAGCCAGGCCTGGACGCTGGCTCCCTCTCCGTGCCCCCCGCCCCTCTCCTCACTGCTGCCCCCAGCACCCCAGCAGGGCCTCCGTGTGGCTGGATGCAGCAGAGCCTTCTCCGTCCTCCGTCCTCCTCTGTGGGTCCCGTCCATCCCAGCATTTAACTCGGGGGACAGCAGCTGCTTCTGGAAATCGTCAATTCTCCAGGCACCCGAGGCGCCACCCCCTCCAGGGTTCCCTCCAGTCTCTTGGATTGCCTCGTCTGGGGGCACATTTTCCAGTGTCTGGCTGAATGAGCAAGGTCCTTAGGCCCTGGGCCCTCTTGCAGGAAGAGTGGGAAACCCCTCACCCCCTGCTACGCTTTAAGAAAGCCCAACCCACCCAGCCCTGAGCTCATCCATCTCGCCTCTACGCCTGTTGGTGAAGGTGCCCCCTCAGGTGCCCCCTACCACTGCAGGCTTTCCCGCGCCCACTCGCCCAGTCCACACCCTGTTGGCACTACCTTCTCAGCGTCTTTACAACCCCACCACTGGCCTGCCTTGCTGCTGCTTCCCCGGTGGAGGCCCGCAACTCCCTCGTGGCTTCCCTTCCTCTGACCTCAGCCATTCCAAACGACTCGGCTACCAGAATATTTTAATCCAAGATCATTGCCTCCTGCATAAAACCCTCCAGTGGCTTCCTGTTGCTTCGGGATCAAGGCACACCCCTCCCAGAGCCTCCAGCCCTGCCAACTCGTAACCACATTTCTCTGTTCGTCCTCTCGGCCTCTCCAGCTCCCACAGGCGGCTTCCCTGTGTTTGGTTCTGTGTGTTAGGTAGAGCTGCCATGTCTCCTGGAATTGGTAGAGCGGCCTTGTGTCCCGTAGGGCCAGTGCCTCAGCCTCCCCAGTCCCCGAACACTATTCTCCTTTCCATGAGGCCTTCAGGCCTCATGGGTTTTTTGCTTTGTTTTTTAATCTTTATTGTTGAGAGTAATATAGAGGTCCCTCTTTTTCCCCCATGGCTCCCCTCCACCTGGTTCCCCCCGCCCCACCCCAGGCCTTCACCACCCTACAGTCTGTGTCCATAGGTAAGATCTTTGTCAATCTCTTCCCGCCCCCTTCGCCTCTTCCCTCTGAGATTGTCAGTCTGTCCCATGCTTCCATGCCTCTGATTCTGTTTTATTCACCAGTTTATTTTGTTCATTAGATTTCTTGTTTATTTTGATTTTTAGATCCGATTGTTGATAGATATGGATTTGAATGCTTAATGTCTGGTTGGTCCTTTTTCATGTCTTTGACATTCTCACTACGATCTTTGAAAGTCTCCTGAAGATGCTTGAGTAACCTTATAACCGTGGTTTTGAACTCCGTATCCAGTAGTTTGTTTGCTTCCATTTCTTTCATTTGTGACATGTTTCCTTGTCTTGGCATTTTGGCGGCTTCCCTGTGTTTGTTTCTGTGTACTAGGTAGAGCAGCTACGTCTCCTGGAATTGGTAGAGTGGCCTTGTGCAGTAGGTGTCCTGCAGGGCCCAGTGGCTCAGCCTCCCCAGTCACCTGAGCTGGGCCCTCTAGGTGCGCCCCTGTGTGGGCTGTGTGCACAGTCTTGTAGCTGATCCTTGACTGCTGTTGGCGTCTAGGAGGAGTTGACCTCCAGGCCAATTGGCTCTGAGGACCAGCTGTGAAGCAAGGCCAGCTGGTGCTAGAGCCGGGTCTCGGGCCTTTTATTGATCGGTTTGGGGCACGCTGTCACCAGCTGGAGCTTGTTTGAGAGATTGAATTGGGAAGATGGCGGCATAGGCAAACGCCTGTACTTGCCGCCTCCCACAGCCACATCAAAATTATAACTAAAATACAGAACAGCCATCGTTCAGAACCGCCTGGAAGCTGGCTGAATGGAAGTCCTGCAAATAGAGAGGTGAAGGAGAAAGAATGTTGAGAATAGTAGGAGGGCAGAGGCACAAAACGGGCCGAGCAAAGGGTCCCAGCAAAAACCTGCGGGATTTTGGCTGAGTGACACGGAGGCTGCTGGAATCCCAGGTGTTCCTCTTAAAGGGCCTGCACACAAACTTACACAGTCCCACATCTTCTGAGCTCCAGCGCCGGGGACCCAGATACAATAAGGTGAGGAACTGGATTGTCTGGCATCGGAGCAGGAACTCGGGGGCAGCTTTCTCCCAGACAGGGGTGCTCGCCAGGGTGACTGTTCCTGTGCGGGGACCTCCCCTGTTGCAGGGCTGACTGGCAGTCACGTCTGAGTGTGAATCAGCCTGGAGCACACCGTTGTTCCACCCTGGGGATTCCCGGAGACCCCTGCACCACCCAATTTGCAGCCCCACCCAAGCTGTTTGCAGCAGCTTTTCTCCTATGAATGGCCTGTCCTGGCTCAGGCTTCAGACTTTGATAAAATCTCTCCAAGAGACCTCATCTCAATGTCTCCTCCTCCAGGAGCCCTCCCTCCATGACCAGCACCCAACCCCCGCCCCCACTCCTGGTACTGCCCTTGTCACTGCTCTCCCTTCCCATTGGGAACGCCTGCAAAGCCCGTAGTGAACAAGCATGAGCCCCAGCGTCCTGGAAGCCAGCCCTTGCTTCTGCCCCTCGGTCCCTCTTGGTTTGGTTCGGCACAGGCCATCTTCCCGGCCCTGGATGAGCCGGGCTGACCTGTGGCCTTTGGCTCCGTCTTGGGTAAAAGAACAGCAGCCTGCACCCCGCCCTGGCCTTGTAACTCGTCTCAGCCTCTTCCTGAGGGCGTCCAGGCCGAGCAGCCCGGCTGCCGGGGCAGAACAGCTCCTCCTCCCAGGCCGGGCGGGGCCCGGAGGGCATCTCCCTCCTGGGTGACCCCCTGCATGTCTCTCAGCCCAGGAGATGCACTCCTTTCCGGGGGCCCCTGTGACCCCTTCCTGTGCCCCTGGGCACCTGTGGGTCCATCCCCAGCCTCTTCCTGCCAAGGCCCCAACCCTCTAAGGCAGTGGTTCTCCACCTTGGCTGCACATGAGAATCACCTGGGAATCTTTTTAAAATCCTGATTTCTGGGCCTCATCTTCTGGAAATTCTGTTTCTTTGCTACTAATGTTGTGGCCCCACCCCATAACAAAGAAACAGAATTTCCGGAGGATGAGGCCCAGAAATCAGGATTTTAAAAAGATTCCCAGGTGATTCTCATGTGCAGCCAAGGTTGAGAACCACTGCTCTCAGGGGCCCGGTCATGGTGCACACACAGGCCCTCTCTCCATCTGCCGCCTCTGCCCACAGGAAGGCCCCGGAGCGCTTGCCCGGCCGCAGCGTGCTCCACGCCACCCCCAGAACAGCTGGCTGAGACCCTCTCTGCAGGACCCCGTCTCCTGTCCACTTGAGCTTCTTCTAGGCCAAGCGAGGCCCGGTCCTCCACATCTCCAACAAGTCAACGTGCTCCCAGAAGGCCCTCGCAGGCCTGGGTTCAAAGGTAACGTCCTCCCCACCCTCACCACCGCTCTTCCCCAAGGGAAGGCCACTGGGTCCTGGAACCTCTGGACAGTTTTCTCCAAAGAAACCAGCCAACAGATTTCTAGGCCCTCGGCTTCCTTGGACCCCTTTTTACATGGGACCTGATGTGACTGCGGGTCCCCCATTTCCCTTATTAACAAGCCCCAGAGGACAGACTCGTCGTGTGGTACCCCGAAACCCTTGGTTTCAGTTTTCAGTTCTTTGGTCAAAACTGGGGCAGGGACAGTCCATTGTAACCCCCTGCGACACTGTTTAATCATCTTTTCCCAGCGACGGGGGCTTTGCAAAGGGCAGGCCATGTCCTGGGTCGTGGGCCAAGCCCAGCTCTTTGTTGTTTTTATTTTTTAAGTCTTTATTGTTGAGAGTATTGCATAGGTCCTCCTTTTCAAGCCCCGCTCTTTAAAAAGAATATCGGACATGTCAGTAGTGGTGTCTCCATGTGGCCAGGAGGAGGCTGTTCTGTGAAACCGTTGCTTCGGCTGCATATAAACCTTGGGGAGTGCCTGTGTGCACCTGGATGGTGATGGGAAATCTATTTCTTACTAGAAATCCTGGTGAAAGAGTGAAAGCAACATGAGGACAGGGGCGTGTCTGTTTCGCTCCCGATTGCCGCCGGGACTCAGTAGCTCTGCGGGGAGTGTGTGAGGGGCTGGAAGGAGGCTGCGCCCACCATGAACTGTGAGGGAGTCAGGCCTCTTCTCTCACCAACTCCGGGACACGATGGCCATGGTCAGGGCCAGCGCGGTGGCTTCCCGATCGTTCTGGGAGCCGAGGGTTGACGTCTGGGGTTCTCTGTGTTCTGTGGGGTCTGCCCCTGGCCTGGGATGTGGCGGGCGCGTCTGAAGGGA